TCGGGCCGCAGTACTTCCTGGCCACCAGGCCCCCAGGCCGGGCTTCACCAGGCCTCGCTAGGCCTCTCCGCGCCTGGGCCGCCCTCCGCAGTCCCGTAGCTCCGCCCACCTCCGATCGCCGAGCCATCGCTGCGCCGGGCCGCTGCAACGGGCTGCAGCTCTTCTTGGCCGCCAGGCCCCAGGCCTCACCAGGCCCCGCCAGGCCCCACCAGGCCCCATCTTAACATTTTGATAGGTCATTCACCTCAACTGGGAAATGCAAAAACAACTCTAAAATATTGTAGTCTGATGTTTCCAATAAGGTATTTGGCAAAGCCGTAAATGGTAAAATAAGATAACATAAGGCTATCTTCATACAAAATTGTTTTCACTATCTTGTTAATACATATGGTCTTTTTTGCCAAACATTACAAAATGCCAACCTTCCCCAACCTGGCACATTTCAGATATGTTTGAACTACAAGTCCTAGAATAACCAGCTAGCATGCCAAATAGCTGATTGTTGACTTTGTCTTTGGATTGCTGTACCTTTTTCTCTATTCTTTTTTTTTCCATCTCTGTTATACAGCCTGACTTCCATTATCCACTTACGTTGCTTTCCTGCAATTTAAGCTTTTCAATTGCAAGACATCACACAAACTCATCATACACTGGTTTGTCCACCTAGGACAGGGATGTCAAACTGGAGGCCTGCGGGCCGGATGCATCGTGCATAGGCCACACCCACCCCAGCTCCGCAAAGGCAAAAAATGTAATACGTCACAATACATCACATGACACGATTGAGTTTGACACCTGTGATCTAGCAGAATCTGCCTTTTGCCTGGTAACTTAAAGGGACTTATTCCTTTCAGAGGAGAGGTCAGTCCTGTATATGGTAGGACAAGGGTAAGGAATATTTTGTTAAGTTGAAGTGAGTGCTTTTATAATACTCTAGCAACTGAATATAAATGTTATCTGTACAAAATTTACAATAAAAATCAGTTTATTATCATCAGTGCATGTGTTACAGACTTTTCTATTCAAAATGCTGGAAAAAAATCATCTTGATGTAGTGAATACATTTCAAATTCACCAGTTTGAATATTTCATATTTATATTTCTAGCACATTTTACCAGACTAATGCTACATGTGATTTTGCTTTTTTGTAAGTCAGTATTGTAACTAAATTGTCATTTTTATACATTAAAAATATTTATTTTTTGACCAAGGGTAACAGATTATTCCACATCAGAAAACATGAAAGATGAATTTGAACATTTGATTTACTAAGATTTATGTGTGGCTACACAGAGGCTAAGATATAATATGGTTGGTTGGTTTTGGTTGAACAGATTCTATGATTCCCAGCTTCTACCAGTATGTGTGATCCGAGGTACTGTAATAATAAGTCATGATTCATAATATAATGTGTAAAAATCTAGACACATTCATTTTCTATTTCCATCTTGATCTTAATATTGAATTGTTTTAATAAACATATTAAAATGAAGGGCTGTTAACATGACAAGATGCTTTTCCCTCCTCTCTGTGTAAAACTTTACTTCTGAAATGCTCATCATTCTTAAAATTACAACCTCCTTCCAGTGCCTCTTAAAAATCAGACATCCTAAATAGATGGTACCAACTCGAAATCTTTTTACTCACTGTTCAATGTCCTGAATAAAAATCAGTGATCAAATAATGGAAAATCACTGTTCTCCTTGGGGTGATTCACATAGAATGGCCCAAAGTCAATATTGATAGTCTGTCTTCTTAAAAGTTCTAAAGCAGCAGTGAAAGGATGCAACTACCTCACTCTCTTGAAGTGGGTCCTCTCCACATATCAAATTCTGCAGGACCAAGTATTTCAGTTTTGCTCCAAAGCTGAGCTGGGAAAATAACAGAAGACTGGAGCAATTAGAGTATGAGATACACCCTGGCTATTGGTGCTTCAAAGCTCTTATTCATACAGGCACATTTTTCCAATAAGCCTCGATTCATATCATTGTCCTCTTGTCCTTAGAAATATTGTAAGAGAGGCTTGCATATACTGTATTTTCCGGCGTATAAGACGACTGGGCGTATAAGACGACCCCCAACTTTTCCAGTTAAAATATAGAGTTTGAGCAAGAGAGAGGGGGGGGAGAAAAAACTTGATGAGTAATATGCCAAACCACATGTGTAAAGGAATAAAATAGAATACCCGTATTTTCCGGTGTATAAGACGACTGGGTGTATAAGACAACCCCCGACTTTTGAGAAGATTTTCAGGGTTTAGAAAGTCATCTTATACGCCGGAAAATACGGTATCTGGGGAAAAATATTGTCTTGTTCTATGAAATAGTCTGGCTATATATTATCCAGCTTAATACAGGTTCATCCTATATTAGAAATGTGATACTAACGAGTTTCACAGATTAGAAATAGTGAAATGTGTATTCTGGTTATATCCTTTTTTTATGCAAGCAAACAAAACTTCCACAAAAATAATATTTTTTCCCACAAGATACATGTTCAGGTTTTGCAATAGACATCATACTTCAGCTTTGTTCCCAGCTTGGTTCCACCTAAACATTCCTTAAATTTAGCATCCATTTGCTCATTTTGAGCCTTGCCAAAAATATTCTTCCAATCTCCTACAATGCCTGCAACAAAAAGAAAATGGGAGGCTCAAAGAAAACAGAATCACTTACTTGATAGTTTTAATAACAATTCAAAAGATTTGTAATTTTATAACTGGGCACAAAATGATACAATGCACTGAGGATTAGAGAAATATGAATACATTCACCAATTTTCTATGGTTCCTTCTTAGCCAAATCTATTAAATCTATTGTCTTGCTTCCAGAATTTGCTGTCATGTACAAGCACCAGAGCCAGTTGTGAAAATGAAGTCAAAACCAGTGAAATTGACTGAGTTTAAAACAAGTTTATCAGAACCAGTAATCCTTAGAACCTGGATACAAATATAGTAATGCTTATAGTTTTATAGCTATACATGTCTTAACCTCAAACTCACACAATGCACTTCCAATTCAGATAAGGGAAAACAATCAACAAAAATGTGAGATCCTCTTGATCCCTACCCTTTTTCATTTTCTGCCAACAATATCAGATACTAATTTTCCTTTCCATGTGCCAATTTCAGAAATTTAAATATAACTTTTGACATTCTGAAACCACACACTTGAGGAGACACCAGAAAATATAGATAGGTCTGCATCAACCTTTTACACACCTCTACTCAGTACAGCTCATAAAAAAATAAGAACTAAAAAGCAACAGAAAGTAAGCAGACAGGTAAGAGAAAATAGATTGAAATATAGTTTAATGTAATTTATAATGAGACCATAGATCTTTCTAGCCTTGCTTCTACAGAGGTGTATTCAAATTCATAGCTTGTTTTTGTTTTAGAAACTTTTTTTTCTTTGAGGATCTTTTCAATTTGTTCCATCCATAAATTTTCTGACTTCCCCTTTCTCTGAATCTGTTCACTTCCCCTCACAAATTTTGGTAGTACAGGTAGTCCTCGACTTACAACAGTTCATTTAGTGAGTATTTGAAGTTACAATGGCACTGAAAAAAGTGACTTACGATTGTTTTTCACACTTACAACCTTTGCAGCAGCTCTTCTAGACACTTGGCAACCAATTCATATGTATGACTGTTGCAGTGTCCTGGAGTCATGTGATCAGCTTCTGTGATCTTTTGACAAGCAAAGTCAATGGGAAAACCAGATTCACTTAACAACTATGTTACTAACTTAACAACTGTGTCAGGAAAGGTCGTAAGATGGGGCAAAATTCACTTAACAAATGTTTCACTTAGCCACAGAAAGTTTGGGCTCAATTGTGGTCTTAAGTTGAGGACTACCTGTAGTTGTAAACCCTACAAAGTGTGCTTGCTGCATACAATTATGGGACATTCATAAACAGAAATGCTGTGAATGCTTTCATTTACTAATGGAAACTTGATAGAGGGGAACACTAGAAAAACACTCTTTCCCTGTTTCCTTTTTTGTAAACCAACCTTTCCGGAAGAGCAGTGGACCAGCCATCCCATGTGTTTCCTGCGACTTATCGCGCACCGCTTGGAAGGTAGTTCTGTCTGCAATAGCCTGAATTTGCTCAGTAGTAGCAGGGAAACCAAAAAAATTAGCTATTTGCTTTACTCCCGAAACCAGGTCCTGAAAGCAATATAGTGATATGATTAATATCCTATGTAAGTTGTATAAACTGTATATTTGATATTAATTATTTATATTAATGTTATGAAGAGCTGTATTTCTTAGAGTAAGCTTGAGTAGCTTCAGATTCAAAACCCATTGTCAGATATGCTGACTTGAGCATGTAGTGAAATCGCAATCAATATATCTACTCTATACGGAACCATACAGACTATAACCCAGAATAGTTACATGGTGGAAAAGGAGAAAGAGTAAAAATCAGTTCAGTGGTAATCTAATTCTCTTCTCACACAAACCCACAAATTCGTAAGGCATTTACATCATTAAGATACATTTTAGGGGAAATTGTCATAAACAAGTGGCATTTTTTTTTGTAAGAAAATTGGATGTCAGCCTTCTCCTAAAGAGCTTGTTCTTCCTGCATCCCAAAATAATTTTTCAAATTTTGTAATGCAATTGCTATCAACTAGATCAGTGGTGGCGAACCTATGGCACGCATGCCAGAGGCGGCACTCAGAGCCCTCTCTGTGAGTACACGCACTATTGCCCCAGCCCCCCGTGGCCCCCTCCTCACCAGCAGCACCCCCAGAGGAGAGTCGCCCCCAGGTGCAGCCCACGCAGAGCAGTGCAGCCAAAGACATGGCATCCGGGCAGCAAGGACAAGACTTCGCCCTCGCACCCTCGCGCCCGTCGCGTGCAAATGATGCTGTGGGGTGCGGGCAGAGGGTGTGGCTGCCACGGCGCTGCAGGGCCGCTTGGGCAATCTGCGGTGGGCTGTGGAAGCAGTGGGTGGCCCTGTGGGTGGGGGAGGGGCGGTTTTTTGGCACTTGGTCTCTAAAAGGTTCGCCATCACTGAACTAGATGAAGCCAAAATGGCACAGAAAATAAGTTTAAAATGTATTTTTAATGCCATTAGAGCATTAAAGCTCTTCAGATGCCAAATCAAAAAAGAAGGCTAAGGTCATTGTCCTATAACTCTATGGCAGGGGTGTAAAACTGCCGGCCCACGGCCGGACGCGTCATTGCAAAACCGCGCCCACCCATTGCCAGCAATGGCAAAAAAAGTTCCGATACGTAGCACGACGTCACGTGATGTCGCGAGTTTGACATGTTTGCTCTATGGGTTTAGGATATGGGTGCATAGGATTATTCACTGGTGAGAGAAGTAACTTTTGCTATTTGGTCTTTTTTTCCAATCACTTAACTCTTCAGGTGCTCCAGGCTGTCTCACAACTTTCAGAACAGGATGAGGAAATGATCCTTATAATATACTAAGACTTAAATTCCAGCCTTTTGATCATGCCATGTCTTATAAAAGCAGTAAAAGTTTGGGACAACCTCTTCTCATCTAATGTACATAGAGAAGTTTTGTTCATGATATGAATACACCCACCTCTTCTAATTCCTCATATGTCAGAATCAGAACGTTTTCATCATCTATATGTTTGTTCCAAGCGACAGCCTGATCGAAATAGGATCCCCAGGCAACTATAGTATAAAGGCAGTATATTAAAATGACCTTATTTGTAAAAGAATCTGCAGAAAGCATTAACAATAAATTATTTTTATATATATTGCATTCATACTCTCTCTGGATAACATATAGTATTGAACCAAAGTGTTTTTTATTAAACATCTATTTCCTTTTCATTTCCTTATTCTTGTATCCATGCATCAACCTTCATATCAGCTCTAAAACACCTGCAATCCCCTAAAGACAATAGGAGTTGTAAGGTAATATCTCTTCTCCTGGCAAGCAGTGTGCTAACGGTGTTTGTTCTGCTGACTGGAAACAAGTTTCTGTTTCTGCTTACATAAGTTCTCAAGATACAAAGAATACAAATGTCTTGCTGGGAACTTCCAAATAAATAAGGCCAGCACTTGTAAGAGTTATCAGTTCAGTTTTGGCTAGAGACAAAAATTAGTTCTCAAAATGCTGACTATCTATGCTGTCTGTCCCAAAGTCACATCCAGCAAGTAAACTGTGCAAGCTTTAGTGCTATTTCAAAAATCTTGTGGGGTCTTTTTGCTTAGGGGCAATAGAAATGTGTTCATCTATATCACAGAAAATGAAGCTCTGATCATATCATTTTCATTTCTCTTAAAGCCAAACATTCTTCCAAAGGGTGTCTAACTTCCTAGAAAAGCAAGTTTGATAGCACTCCTATTAGAAATCATAGTAGTGGCACATCTCAATTTCTCCCCTGGTGCTCAGATTGATCAGATTAGCCTAGCCTTCTGTTCCCCAAGTTATTATATTTGAGCCAATCTGAGAGCTTAAGAGTACCTTCTCCATTCATAAATTCTGGGAAAAATTCCTCCCATGAATTATAACTGGGAATGGTTGGAGCATTATTATGAAAATGGAAAAACGATGCTGCTGTATCTTTAGGATTTCGAAACAACACCAATATCTAAGGTAAGAAAAAAGAACAGACATTTTAAATTTCCAGTGACATGAATGAAAGTACTGTATTACTGGCAAAAGTCCCTATTATATTGCAAATTGATGCTGATGATTAGCACTTCCTAAACTACACTTAAAAGGAAATTAGAGGTTGAAATTACGTCCATTAATTACATCCTTCAGAAAGCACAGTCACCCATACTCCAATCCTCTCGTATCTTTAGAAAGGCTACCAGATCTATCTTTAGAAAGGCTACCAGATCTAGATTGCCACAATCCAATCAACCACCAAATGGCAGCAGAGAATTAGTTTTCAGTTCTCTCTTTGCTGCCATTTTGTCATCCTCCAGATGTCTGCGACCCAAATCTGCTAGCTTTACCTTCTACTACCAAAGGCATACAATGCCATGTTTCACACAGCTGTCACTATCCACTGATCTCTTGTGGTCAAGGGTACTTCTTTCCTAGTTAATTTATTTTGAATGGGGTTACTAGATATTTCATATCCTATGTTCCTGATACATATCTATAGCCCAGTAGCTAAACTATCGCAATACCTAGTGTCATAAAATATGTTAGGTTATATCAGATACTTTCCTTCCAAATGTTCTGGATTACAGTTTTCTCAATGCTTTGTCATGCTAGCTGGTTGTTAGTAACCTGCAGGCTACATAGCTGCCTAATTTCATGCATTATATCATTCCCATAAATATTACAATAGGCTCACAACATTCCTATTAATTGCTTATCTAAGGAAGTGCAGAAGTAAATATTATCAGTGAAACATAATGCCTACCTTGGCTTTATTTTTGAAAATAGATTTGGGCAGATAGTTATAATGGAGATGTGTGGCCACAATCCTTGGAGAAGGAAATTGTTTCATCCTCTTTACAAACAAAAACAAGGAAAATGTTTTAAAAAACATATCAAATGGACCACTTGTGCATGTCCAGATTGGCTCTACTGTCATATAAAAGTAATTTGTTGCCTATAAAAAAAAGGCAGTTAGAATAACATTGATTCTCTAAATCCCATCTGCAGATTTTATGACACAAAACTGAACAATATTGAGATATGCCAAATGTTTCATATCACTCTATTTTCATATTCCAGACAAGCAACAAAATCACAACCCATTCCTGAGCATCTAATGACTAGAGCAGGGATCTGCAACTTGACAACTTTAAGACTTGTGGACTTCAACTGAAGTCCACAAGTCTTAAAGTTGTCAAGGTTGCAGATCCCTGGACTAGAGGACATTGCTGGAAAACTAGAGGCACATTTCAGACAAGAGAACTTTCTCTATTGCCTTATTTCATTGCAACAACTACCACGCAAGTGCAGATGAAATATCCCATTTTGGAAAGCCAAGTTTTGCTACTAATTAACCTGAAACTTTTCTGGATCTCCACACTCCATAAATGGCAATTCTGTATTCTCTTGCTTAATTTTCAACGTTGTGGCAATCAGATCACTCACAATGAGAATCAACCAATTTGCTCCTGGGGAAAGAAAAAACAGGAAAAAATCATAATAA